TACAATTATTGTGGACAAATATTGTACATTTCTCTTGCAGAAAGTGTTAAAGTTCACTTGGAATCAGAAATGATGTACAAATTAGTTTAATTTTATTATTTAATTGCAGTATAAGAGAAACTAATTTTTTTTCTTCTTTTCTCTCAGTGCACTATAACTACTTCTTGTTTCTTCATTGTTTCCTACCAAGGCTTTCCAGTCCTCATATTAGATTGGCCTGGCCCAAACTAAACAGAAACCAAAAAACAAGTTCAGCTCTCTATCTACCTGAGTAGATATAGTTTGACTGTATATCTAGGCCTGTAGTGAATGGTCTTTTCCTTAATTTAGTATCTTCAGCACAGCTTTCTTAAGCATTTACTTGCTATGCTGAAGGCAAGCCTGTGCTAATAATGGAAAAAGCATCAGAGAAGGAGTTAGGTTACCTAGAATCTAAATATGGCTCTGCCCCTAACTAATTCCCAAACTAACCTTAGACAAACAGATCATTTCATCTTTGTAGGGGTCTTCATCTGTATTAATGTGGTGTTTAAATTAGATAATCTCTAACATTGGTTGACTTTCTGCAATTTTTTTTCTGGTGGGAAGGGAATTCCAGATATTTCTTATATTAAGACAGTGTTCCTATTCCAGGAAACATCTTCAATGCTTTCATATTTTTATTTGTTATTTTTTAAAGCTTTGGAACAACCTGCGGCATTACAGTATTTTCATATATCCAAACCAGTCTTAGGATTCTTGGGCTTCATGGAATCTGAGGCCTCCTCAATGTGGGCATTCTCTCCATTGGTGAAGTATAGACAGTTCATGCCTACTATCCTGCATAATTCTTGTCCAGGATACAACCAGGTTATCTATCTCTGAATACCTCGCTTTTGAAACATCCATTTTTTATCTTTTTTTCCTGGATTATATCTTTTAAATCATTTTTTGCATGTAAAAAGTCGTCATTAGCAATGTTCTGCAACCAACCAAGGCCCACTGCATATATATCCTTTACCCTTTGGGTACAATTTTTATTCCTTAGCATTTGTGGAGCTCCATGATTTGTAGTCATATAGCATTACCAAAAAAATACTGGTATTAAGAAGATGAGTTCTGGATCCCTCTCTTCCACCTTTTTAATTCTGGACTCTTTACATTTATAATGTCCCTCTCAAGACATAAATATATACTGATATACTAACTTAATGGGCTGCCCATCCAAATACATATCAAAGTCTAGGCAAAAGATATACTTCATCTGTTATACCTACTTCACTGGGATTTTTTGGTGGGGGAGTGTAAATCTACAACATGTAAATGTGAATAGATATAGTTTGGTTTTTATCTCTCTGGGTTGTTGGGCCATTCTTATACTTGTGGATCTCATTGAAGAGTTTCCATGGTCACTGGGGGAATAATAAAATTAGAATGATGTCATCTGCAAACATGAACATCTTGAAGATTTCATCATATACAGAAAATCCTCTAGTGCCCCTGATTTTATTTGCTCCCATCTTCTCCAGAAACTTGTATTTTCCCATCATTCCTTCGCTCTCGCTCTCACTCTATCTATCTATCTATACATATATACTGACTCCTTCCCTATTTCCTGTAAACATGTCTAGGTCTCCCATATCCTTTAAAACAAGATGATTGACCCACCAACTATCAAGTTAATTTACTTATTTCTCTGAGTCTTCTCTTCCTACTAGACTACCTCACTTGTATGACTTCATCAGCTCTCAGAAGTTCAGCTAACATCTTTCTGGAGATGACTCCCAGATCCGTATACCCAGCCTTACTCTTAATTCTGATCTCTACTCCCACATCACCAATTCATTCACAAGATGGATCCAGCATGCTTTTCCACACTAGGTACATATTACTCCCCTGGGCACACTCTTTGGTCTAGCCAAACTGCCCTGTTTGGTTACCCTCACTGATGACATTCCATTTCCTGTCTCCATGGATCCTTTAGGGTAAGAACTGATTCTTCTTTGTCTTTGTATTATTGGCACCCAGTACAATGCCTAAGACCCAGTTGATGTTTAATAAAGTTATCGCACCATATAGTACAGTAAAAAGTATGCAGAATTTGAAGTCAGAGGGCCTGGGTTCAGAGCTGAATTCTGTTCTCTTATTACCTGTGTAATCTTGGGCAAGACATTTAACCTTTCTTGGCCTCAGTTTACTCAACTGTAAAGTGACAAGGTTAGACTGGATGGCCTCTGAAGTTCCTTTCTTGCTTCAGATCCATGATCAGTCTTATGATCTCTGAAATATTTGTTGGATGATCCTCTCGTAATCAAACTCCAAAAAAAAAAATATCTCTATATAGGCATTCTCCTTCACTTCTCAGCCCATTCTAATCTGGCTTCTGACTTCATCACCAATTGAAACTGCTTTCTCCACGATTATCAATGAATTCTTTTTTTAAAAAAAAGTTTTTACAAAGGAATATTTACCTCAAAGGTATAGCAAGAACAAACATACAAATATTTCCTTCCTCCTCTTACTGCCTGAAAGCATAATTCCCCTCTTACACTACTTTGTGGAGGGAAGTTAGGTTGTTCATTTTCTCAGTTCTCATTCTTCTTAACTCTGCTGCATCTGCTGTTGTTGGCACTCTACTCCTGTAATTTTATAATCCTTATTTCTTCCTAGTTCTCCTCTTATCAATGTAACCACACCTCATTTTAGCTTTATTTGGATCCTTATCCATGTTCCATCTCCTAGAGGGGATGTCCAGCAAGGCTCTAGACTTTTCACTCTTTTCTAATCTTTCTATACCCTGTCTCTTGGTGGTCTTATCAGTGCCTATGAGTTGTTATCATCTCTATGCAAACAACTCCTACATCTATATATCCAGCTTTAATCTCTCTCCTGAGTTTCATTCCACCATTATTAACTGACTTTTAGACATTACCACTTGGATGTCCTGTAGGCATGTCCTAAACAGTACTTACTGTTTTCTCTCCAAACCTATCATTTCTCCAAAATTCCCCATTTCTGGTAAGGTTGTTATCATTCTTCATCACCCAGGTTTGAAATCTCTGTCTTGGCTTTAATCTTTTCTCTCCTCCCTCTATTTCCAGACAGTTGCTTGTTAGTTCTATTTACACAATTTCTCTCTCACCTGTCCTCTTCATCATACTTAGCCAGTATCCTAGATTATGTTGTCATCACCAACAGCCTCCTATTTGTATTTCCTGTTTCTTCTAAGAAAACCTAGAAACTTCTAGTTTCTTCCTTTACATGGATGCCAAAGTAATCCCCCTAAAACACAAGTCTGATCATGTCACTCCTTCAGTAGCTTCTTAATGCCCCTAGAGTAAAATATAAACTTTTGATCTTGGCATTTGAAAACCTTTCACAAAGTAGGTCTATTATTCTTGCCATGTTTTATGTTATTCCCTTTCATGTGCTATGTGTCAGCCAGTTTAGCCCAATTTGTTTTTCTTCCAAACTGAGCATTCCTTCTTTTATCTCCTTACATTTTCACAGGTCTTTGCCTTTGCCTGAAATTCAATCTCTCTTTTCCTCCATCCCTCACAGAATTCCTGGCTTCCTTCAAGGCTCAACTCATGTGCCTACCTCCTACAGGAAATCTGCCCTGATTCTCTAGTTGTCAATGCTCCCAATCTCCTCAATTTTCACTATATGTACATATACATATACACATACACATATACACACATAGAAGGATCAATATATGTTATATACATACCTGTTTGTATAGAACAAGAATAACATAAGCCTCTTGAGTTCAAAGACTGTTTCTCACTTGATCTTTGTATCTCCAGTACCTAAGTAGTGTCTTGCACATGCTTATTGAAGACTGAATTGGGTTGGACATCTTCCATTATAGTGGCACACACTTTTGGTGTATGTATATCTTCTTGTTTTATTCTTGACTTAACATTGATCAGGATCCATCAATAAATCAATTTCCATGGTTCCATTCCATAAAAAAAAGAACTTTGAATGACCTTAACACATGCATGGGACATAGTATCTTCATATTTGGATCAATATAGTATGTTGACATAGAAATTCCAGAGGAGTAAGCAGCCTGGGATAAATCTTTTTCGTAGATTGTTAAAGAGTTAGAAGGGACCTAGGTAAATTGCTTAATTCAGGGATCCAGCAAAGTTAATTAACTTGCTCAGTGTTACACAAAAACAACTGACCTCAAATTTGAACTCACATAGCATTTTTCATCATGAGTCCTTTAGAATTGTCTTGGATCATTGTATTGCTCAGAATAGCTAAGTCATTCACAGTTGATCATCATACAGTATTGCTTTACTGTGCACAATATTCTTCTGGTTCTGCTCACTTCAGTTTGTATCAATTCATATAAGTTTTTCCAGGTTTTTCTGAAATCTGCCTGTTCATCATTTCTTATAATACAGCAACATTCCATTATAATCAAATACCACAATTTGCTCAGCCATTCCCCAATTGATGAGCATCCTCTCAATTTCCAATTCTTTGACACTACAAAAAGCTGCTATAAATATTGGGATACAGACCTAGTAGTGGTATTGCTGGGTCAAAGGGTATGCACTGTTTGATAGCCTTTTGGTGTAGTTCCAGATTGCTCTCCAGAATGGTTGGATCAGTTCACAACTCCACCAACAGTCCATTAGTGTCCCAGTTTTTCCATGTCCCCTCCAACATTTATTATTTTCAAAAGGAGCACTTTTAAAAAGTGCTGTTAAAGGAGTTACAAAAGTAATTCCTGAAGAGTACATTGGAGAAGAAGAGTAGGAATTTGATTTCTGGGTAGTCTCAATATTGTCCTCATAGACTAATTAATTATACGTATATGAAAAACTGAGGTTTTTTTTTTTTCTTTTATGTGCCATTGGTTGTTTCCCTACAGTTCTGGCATCTATGTTGGTAACAGAATCTAATTCATGTTTGTATAATTTTTAGAAGGCTTTTATATTCTTTCCATCCCAGAGAGTTGATGTAACTTGCTAAATCTTTCTTTGCTTTGTGCGCTTCAGATTGCAGTAATGCAGAAGCTCTTAATCTGCGGGCTTTCCTTATTATTTCATTTGACTGTCTCCAAAACATTACCTGTAGAATACAACATTGATGATCATTTTCAAGCTACAGCTTCACTGCCAACAAAGGTTATCTACTTATACGTCTCAATCATGGCCGCCAGACCCAAATATTATTTTGCTTGGACTTTAGGTAAGTAACATTAAAGCTATTTGTCAGTGTATTTTGTGGTTGAGAGTGCCATCTTGAGGATGATGAGAGTTATTTCATTTTAAATTAGATCCATAGCAGATGTGAGGTCCTTGTAAATTATATGTTGTAAAAATGAGTTCTCACAGTTGTTTTGAGTTAATTTCAGAGCCTGATAACAACTCTTTTAAAAAAAATAGCTTTTCCCCAGGTTTCTAGTCAGAACATGATTTCATTTGGGTTTGGATTCATTTTTACAACATGGTAAAGGAAGTTTGGACATTTGTATTTAAGCTTATTCCTTCTGATTGACTTATTAAACTGAATTTACTGTAATTTAGTGTTTAGATATTCAATTTGGATTGGCCAAACTATTGCCAAATAAACTGGCAACTTTCCCTTGATTTGCTACCCAAAAAATTTTCAATTTTGAAATTTAAGCAAAAATTTTTGTGATAAAATGTTTGTGCACCATTGGTCATAGTCTTCTTTCTGTCTTCTGTCTTTTAGTGACTAAAGGAAAACATTAACTTTAATAGCCACTAGGTGACTTAATAAATAAAACTGTATTTTCCCCTTAGGCTTGTCTGACTTTTCCACTCGAAACCAGTGTGTTCTTTGACAAGTCACTTGCCTTCTCTGGGTCTCAATTTGCTTATGTATAAAATTCAAAGGTTGGATTCGATGACCTTTCAGGTTCTTTCAAGCCGTGACCCTATAAGCCTCATTTTTTCATATGCCATTTATTATTTTATATCTAAAGTTGTTCTTCATTCAGGATGTTATCCTTCTATTTGTAATAAATGCCTAGTTATAAAAAATATATTTATTGTTCTTTAAAAGAGTGTTTTACTTATGCACTAATAGACCATATTTTAGCTATTCAGCTTTATTATATAGTAAACTTAATGGCTGTAATAGCTAGATGGCATAGTAGATGTACTGCACCAGGAGTCAGAAGGACCTGATTTCAAATCTGGCCTCAGACACTTAGTAGCTTTGTGACTTTGGGTGAATCACTTAACAACACTGTCTGCCTCAGTTTCCTCATCTGTAAAATGATGATAATAATAGCACCTTCCTCCCAGTGTTACTGTGACGATCAAATGAGATAATATTTGCAAAGTACTTCACAAACCTTAAAGTTATCATTATTACTTATAGCTAAATGGGCTTACTTATTAATTATTCCTTAAAATTGAGTAGAGAGTGAATGATGAGTGTCATTCTTCTTTCACCTACCATCTTTCTCCATAAAGAGATGCTACTAAAGAAGATGGCACATTTCAGCAAAAACCTTTTCCTTTGCAATTTCCAAGTGAAGTTCTACTTGTAGTAATGTTGTCTTATATCATAAGATATTGATCCTGTGCTTGCACTGTGCAAATTTCAACTACTTTGCATTATAATTATTTTCTTCTGTGCTTTATTTTTATTTCCCCAGTTAGTTTATAAATTCACAGAGGACAAGATATTTCTTTTTTATCTTTGTATACCTGATATTCAGACTAATTTCCCTATAGGTATGGAAAGATTCTAGGACCTGGCAGCATGAACTTCTGGGAAATGTAGTTCAGAATATTGAGTTCCCCTGCCCACCCCTTCTTCGAAGGCTCAGTAAGCTGAAGGGAGAAAAACTCACACTGTATGTCAGAACTATGGTTCCCGAAAGTCCATACCTCCAGAACTTTTTCCTGAAGGCTGAGAAATCAGTCCTAACATCCAGTTCATTAATGTCTTTAGAGAAACTATTATTGGCTTCACACAGGATTGATCTTTAATAAATCCTACATGGATTAATAAACAAATCAACATATTAACCTGGTAGAGGGCTAAGGTAATTTGTAGGCCATTTTGGATTTGCATTTAGTATCTGGTTTATTCTTACTCTGTGAAGTAAGCATATGATTTGTCTTTAGAAGTCAACTTTTTCCATTCTTCTTAACAAACAAATGAATTTACTTATTATTTTAATTTTTGTAAGTTAATGATAGATTAAAATACTTTGTTGTCTCACAAGGATTTTACAGTATTTTTAAAGGTTTTTTTGGTTTTTGTAGAATTTAATGTTATTAACATGGTTTTCAACAGCAATGATTCCTAAAAATATCCAAAATTGACAACTTTTTAAAATTGTCATCTTTGCAGGCAGCATATTAATGTAGTCTGGTCTGTTACCTAAAGTAAATATTGACTTTGATTTAGGACTGAGCATTTGCCTATATCCTGTAATGCTGCTAAGGCTTCTACAAGAAGTGTGGCCCATTTGTCAGAACACAGGATTTTTAAGGAGATGAGCAGTCTGTAGGTTATCTGACAATGCTCTGTGAGGCTGGCCTCTTAATAGTTTCAAACTTATCAGTATCAGTAATACAGCTAACTTTTGGAAATGTTGGGAGCATCTGTTAATCTTCATAAAGAACTTTGAAATCTAGATGAATGTCATTGTAGTTTTATAAAATGAGATTCTGTTTTATCAGCATTTTCTTAATTATTGCAGTACTAATGATAAAAATATTTGCAGAATGGTTAACAAAACTCATTTTTAAATTTATGGCCTTTGGGAAATGAAGAATAAATAAAAAATTATCTATAATAAGGAGATTCTTCCACTTTTTCCTCAAGAAAAACCAATTAATATTTAAAAAGTAATACTGATTAGAAATGCAGCTGCAATTAATGCATACTTAGTATAATGCTATATCTTAACTAGTCCAATCCTACTGGAGGAATCCCATTGAGGAAACTGAAGCCCAGAAGCATTTAAGTGCTCTTGCTACCAAGTCCCACTGTAGGTGCTCGTGGGATCATAGATTTACATCTGGAAGGGATCTCAAACATCATTCCAGTGCCCCCATTTTATAGATGAGGAAAATGAGGTCCCAGAAAGTTAAGGGTCTTGCCCAGGAATGGGGAATCTGTAGCCTCGAGGCCATATGTGGCCCTCTAGGTCCTCAAATGTGGCCTTTTGACTGAATCCAAACTTCACAGAACAAATCCCCTTAAGGATAGGATTTGTTCTGTAAAACTTGGACTCGGTCAGAAGGCCCCACTCACTGCCCAAAATCATGCAGGTAGTTAAGCAGAAGAGATGGGATTTGAATCTAGGTCCTCATGTTTCCAAATTCAGTGCTCTTTAACAATATTGGCTTTCCCATCGTAATTATGGTCCCAGTAACAACCAATATTTAAATTGTGCTCCCTGAGATAGTTCAGAAAAGGCCCAGCTATTCATTTGTGGGATAGGTGTGAACTTGAGCAAGGAAAGGCTTTCATTAAGATAGTGACTGACTACCATTTTATTTTTGTTTTATCTGAATTTGGTTTACATATTATAGCCTAAGCTTACTTTACTCCTGACCTCTTTACTGACTATTTATAGGATTATATATTTAAAGCTATAATGAACCTTACAGATCTTCTAGTCTGTTCCTTTCATTTTATAGATGACGAAACTAAAGGCAGTACTGTGCAATGGAACGAGCACTGGGGGGCAGCTAGGTGGTGCAGTGGATAGAGCACCAGCCCTGAAGTCAGGAGTACCTGAGTTCAAATCCAGCCTCAGACCAAACACTTGACACTTACTAGCTGTGTGACCCTGGGCAAGTCACTTAACCCCAACTGCCAAAAAACCCCAAACAAACAAAATAAGAAAGAGCACTGGATTTGAAGTTATAAGACCCCAGTTTCAAGTCCTAGTTCTTCTGCTTGATAGTTATGTGACCTTGGGAAAGTCACAGCCTTATTGGGCCTCAGTTTCTTCAACTGCAAAATGAAGAGACTGAATTCCAATGGCCTCTAAGGAAGGTCCCCTCCATCTCTAAACTTATGATTCCATGACCTAAGTTCCAGTTCTGTTTCTGCCATTCACTACAACCTTGGGAAAGTCATTTAACTTCTCTAGGACTCAGTTTCTTCTTCTGGAAAAATGTACTAGATGCCTTTTAAGATTCCTTTGAGCTTTATCTATGTGTCTTTGAAGCCCAGAGGCAAAATGATTTGCCTAAGATTATATAGGTAACATATTAGCAAATTATTGTTTAGTCTGTCAAAATGTTATATTCTATTTCTGATTTTCTCTTATTTCCAAGACATCTTTTTAAAATACCTTTTCGATATACTAAGATCAAGTAGGGTGGTAATAGCTATCAGGTACATAAAACATTAAATAGACATTATTATCAATATACATATCTTCTATTATTTTGTTTATATAGATAGTACTATATATATATGCAAATTATATTATTTTGTTACTGTTTAATGAACACTAGAGTCACATACGTTAGACAAAAAGTTGAGTGACACATATTCTCTGAATTGTTTTCTCTTGCATGATTTGTTGGCAAATAGACCTTTTGAGGCATCAATTTCCTCTGTTGCTTTTCAAGTAAATGTATAAAACTAAAATTATATGAAAAAGACTGTATATGCTAAATATCGAGGACAGTTCATACGTGAACTAGATTGGCTGAGGCATAATAAAGTACAAAATGAAAATAATTGTGTTCTAGCAACTCATTCATATGTTTTACTGTTCCTAAAATACATTTTGAATGAACTACATTCATTTCCAAGGACATTGCCTATCGGCGTGTCATTTCAACAGTAAAATGTAAGCATCATAATGAAACAAAATTAGAATAACTTTAGATTTTGTGTGTATGTCTGTAAAAATGTGGTTTGAAAAAATGGTGTACAATGTTAAAGCCTGCTTGGGATAATATGGCCACTAGTAACAATAACTATTTTTCCTTGACTCTGTTCCAATACAGCTGATGCTATTAACAATGCAGCTGGATTTGGTTTTAAGGGCTATGATAAAAATGGAGAAGAACGTTGGGACTTAATTTCCAATTTGAGAATCCAGCAAATAGAGGTAGGTAAATGATTAGTGGTCTATTATATAATACTTCATATAAACAGTCTTATTTAAGTTCTAATATCCCAAGTGTGGAATAGAAGTTTTTAATAACACTATTTGAAGATATGTAGTTTGTGAGTCATTGGTAAAATTCAATACTGAAATGCATGAATTTTAATTCATCCTCTAGAGGGCAAAAGGACACATTAATTCATTTTCACAGGCATTGCCTACCAGCATGTCACTTCAGTAGTAAAACGTAAAGAGAGTTATAATGAAATAAAACTAACATTAAACTCTGTGTGTCTGTGTACGTGTGCACATGCACATGTGTGTGTACATCTTAAAGCAAGCAGGAACCTTGGCCTCCTTATTTTATATCTGATAAAAATAAGATTCAGATGTGATCTGACTTGCCCAAGGTCACACAGCTAGTAAATACAGAGATAGGATGATCAGTCTGGTCTGCTTACTCTCCATTCAATGTTCTTTCCATTCCCTCATCTGCATTATCCTTTACCCTTGAATCTGTTTCTTGCTTCTTCCTGTGCTCATGCTTTGCCAAATCCCAAACCTAGTTTACCTCCATGATCTGCCTTCTTGGTTTCTACTCATACGCTGCTTGATTTACAAGAAATTGTAGTGACTGGGTCAGTTACAGAATTGTTATTTCAGACTCACCTGGGCTCTCAAGGCTTCACGCACATCCTTTTATTCTTCCCTGAGTTACTGTCATCCTCTCCATAGCAACCATTCCAAACTTTCCCTTATTTCCTTAGGCCTCTCCCTTGATTTTGGAAGAGCAGATATCAAAGAGTTCAACAGAAAGGAGGAATCCCATAGACTAAATATCTACAAAGGAAAACAACCCAGGAAGCATGGGAAGGCAGGGACTAACTTTTGTGCCCTTTTATAACCCTAGCACTCACTTAGCACGGTGCCTTACAGGTAATAGGTGCTTAATAAATGCTTACTGACAGACTGAGTGACCACAAAGAGAAGAAATCCAGTAAAGAGGAATAATGATGGGAGTTGGAGCTGCACAGAGGACTCATCATCCACCTCAGATCTATATAGAGAATGGAAACAAAAGGAGATACCATGATCAGTATGAAAGCTTAGCATTGCCCTTTAAGGACAGCACCAGGAGTGCTAAAACTCAGAGTAAATTTAGGCAAGAAAAGCCAAGGTAACAAAAAGGATTTTGTATTGTTTTTTAAGTTATATTGGGGAAAAGAAGAAGATCATAGAAGAGAGAGGACCACTATTCAGGGTGGAGAGGACAATGAAAACTGACAACAGAAAGAAAACAAATCGGTTTTACTTTTAATTTGCTGCTCTTTTCTCCACTGAGAATGACCCTTGATCTGAAAAGGACAGAACAAAAGTGGCTGATAGAATAAGTAAGGAGATAGTAAGACAACACTTAACTGTCTTTATTGAACTCAGGTCACCTGGCCCAGTGGAACCACAATCGTGTGTTCTGGAAAAATGACAGATATGAATACTGAGTGATATTCAGAAGATCATGGAGAATAGAAGAGGTGCACATCAAGACTGGAGAAAGACAAATGTCCAGTTTTCCCCCAAAAAAAAGTGGAATCTGAAAACTACAAACTACTGACCTTGATTTCTATTCCTGGCAAAATTCTAGAATAAATTAATAAAAAGATGGTCAGTGAATATTTAGAAAAGGAAGTGATGATCACAAAGAGCTATTATTGCTCATGAAAAACAGGTCAGACCAGACTAACCTTCTATCTTATTTGATGGCGTTACTAAATGAGTAGTTCAGGGTACTAATGTAGATATTTTTAAATGAACTTTAAGTTGTTTATTAATAGTAATTAAAAATAATAATAATCTTAGAGGATATCACCATAGGAGTTCTGCACAATTTTTGCTTACTCTGAAGGGGTCTACCACTTTGAAAAATTTTGAGATCCATTGGACTAGGCAATATTTAAAATTTGGTAGATGTAGAACTATTTGAATGTCCAGACTAGAGTGGTTATTAGTGGTTCAACTTCAGTTTGGAAGGTCTCCAGGGATCTAAGCTCACCCTATGATGTTTAATATTTTTAACAGTAAGTTGGATAAAGACATCTATGTATAGCAAATTTGCAGTTGATATAAAGCTAAGTGATTCCTAACTCACTGGATGACAAAGGATTCAGTAAGAATTTGATAGGTTAGAGCACTGGGCTGAATTTAATAAAATTCAATATGGATAAATGTTCAGTTGTTCAGTCATTTTCAGTTGTGTCCAACTGTTTGTGATCCCATTTGAGGTCTTTCTTGGCAAAGATATTGGAGTAGTTTTCCATTTCCTTCTCCAGCTCGTTTTACAGATGATGAAACTGAGGCAAACAGGGTTAAGTGACTTGCCCAGGGTCACACAGCTAGTAAGTGTCTGAGGCCAGATTTGAATTCATCTTCATGAGAATATGAATCTTCTTGACTCTAGGTCTGGTACTCTATCCACTGTGCTACCTAGCTGCTGTACAAATGTATACTTAGCCTTGAAAATTTTTCTTCACAAGTTTAAGCTGAGCAAAGTATTGATTGGTTAGATGACAATTTGTCTGACAAAAGATCTAGAATTTTGAGTGGATATGTAAGCTCAATATGAGTACACCTTGTGATATGGCACTTGAAAAAATCAATACAGTCTTGGACTTCCAGGAATAAGGAGGTGATAATTACACTGTTCTCTACCTAAATCAGACTATATCTGTTGTTCAGCTCCAGATGTCACAAGTTAGGAAGGACTTCAGTAACCTGGAGAGTGTTCTGAGAAGGGAAATCAGGATGGTAAAAAGCCTTTAATTCATGCCATATGAGGATCAGCTGGAAGAACTAGGGACATCTAGCTTGAAGAAGAACAGATTCAAGGAAGACATAATAGATGTCTTCAGATTTCTGAAGGGCTGTGCTGTGGAAGCAGGTTTAGACTTTAATTTTTTTTTTGGCCCCAGAGGGAAGAGTCAGAAAAAAATGGGTGAAAGATGCAAAGAGTCAGACTTAGGTTTGATGTCAGGATAAACCTAGTAGAAATTAGAACTCTAGTAAAGAGGAATGGACAGCCTCAGGAATGAGTGGATTGATGGGAAGTCTTCAGGCAAAACAGTGAGTGACCACTTATTGGGCCTGTAAGCTCTGAGTTGAACTTCAGTCTTCTCTCAAAATCTTCTGCCTCTTTCCCTGCTGTCTTTCAGAGTTAACAAAAGTATCCCTTAAAACAAAAAAGAAGGGCTTCAGTATGAAAATCATGAGGGGAAAGGATCTGAAAGTACAGAGGTGAATCCTATCCTATACCAGTCAGGCAACACGAGTTTATTAAGTATGTGTCTTGGTGCATACAAAGAAAAAACAAAACAGAAATTTGGAGGACAGTGAACAGTGTTACACAGAAAAAAGAGAAAGAACCTTGAACACTTGAATCTAAGAAACTAGTTGAGGTTCTTCCCATAGAAGAGGAAGCAGCCACATGCCCTATAAGGAATAATAAAGTAAATCCACTAGCCAAATCAAGTTAACAAGCATTTGTTAAGTGCCAGCTATGTGCCAGGCACTGTGCTAAGCACTAGGGATTTTTTTTGATAAGGCAAAAACAGTCCCTGACCTCAAGGAACTTACAATTTAATTGAGGAGATAACATGCATAGAACTGTTTATGAACAAGATATGGATAGGATAAGATGGAAATAATCTCAGATGAGAGTCAATAGCATTAAGGAGATCAAGAAAGACTTCCTGTAGTAGGAGTTTAAGGTGAGTGTGAAAGAATTCTAGACATGGGGAACAGCCAGTTCAAGAAATGGTGTGTGCAAGAATGTGCAAGAAACAGCAAGGAAGGCCAGTGTCAGTGAATCATAGAACACGTGGGGCGGGGAAAGATGTCAGAAGGCCTGGAAATGCAGTGAAGGGCCAAGTTATGACAGGCTTTAAAACCCAGAGGGAAGTATTCTGGTGAAAGCTTATTCCTTAAGGATCAGACGAAAAAGTGAGGAGGACTGATGGTCGGTGATTCCCTGTTAACGGATAGCTGGGCAGCTCTTCATCCACCGATAACATTCAGAGAAGTCTTCGAAGGATGTATATCTGAGAGGGAACAGAGATGCCCAAGACTTAACCTGATGAATGATTACTGTACACTTCTTGTGATTCATATGAGCACAATGATGCCATGAGGAGCAACCTAGAAGATGACAGCATCATGGGCAAGAAATGAAAGATCTTGGAGGTACAGGTAGTGGTGTTTTCTGACTCCAAATCCAGAAGTTTTTCCACCGAACAGTTCTGTTGATATGCTTACACCTATCAGCTATATGAACCAAACTAGAGACCATAACGAGTAGCTGCAATGTCAAAAAAAGAAATAGCAGTAATGACATCTAGAGTTCTCAGGAGACAAAATTCAAGAAATGAGTTTTCAATAAAACCCATGGCCTCATATGTCTCTAATATACTAGTAAATAATAAGCAGAAAGGACTATGCAACACAAGAAAACAAATTTGAAGCTGCATGGTGGCCTATGCCTGTAACCCCTGCTGCTGGGAGAGGCTGAAGCTGGGGGATTCCCATGCTTACTCCCCTGTCCTTATCTAAGCTTTGAGAAACTTACCCAGAACCCAGGGGGTTTAGTCCTCTACACAGATGTTCATGAGTTCATAAGGGGCAACAGGGCAAAACAAAGAACAAAAGTGCCATTTGTTTTGTTAAGAGCCTGAATTTCTGACTCTACTCTTAAAACCATGGTAAAGGTGTAATAAGCAGGTTAACATTCAGGTGAGGCTTATTGTTGAATAGATTTATATATTTAGGTGTCTTACATCTGAGATGAGCCATTCTTCAATTACTAGGTGATAAAGAAGTCTCTAACAGCCCTTGAAATTTTTATTTCTGGCAAAATTGTGGAACATATTATTAAAAGACTAATCACTACATATCTTACAAAGGAAGCTATGAAAAGGAAGAATTGGCATGGAATCATCCAGAATAGGCCACATATACCAGACTAGCCTTATTTCATTTCTTGACAAGGTTACTAAGCTGGTAAAATCCTGTAGTTGTGGTTAAACTAGATTTTAGTAAAGCAATCGATAATATGTTTCATGCTCTTCTTTTGGAAAAAATAGATTTGAGCTAGACATTGTTTATAATGAAATAAATTTGATCAATATCTTACACCATATACCAAGATAAGGCCAAAATGGACACATGGCCTAGATATAAAGGGAAATATTACAAGAAAATTTGAAGAACATGGAACATATTACCTATCAGATTTATGGATAGATGAACAATTTATGAACAAACAAGGGATAGAGAGCATTGAGAGATATAAAATGGATAATTTTTATTGCATTAAATTTAAAAACTTTTTGTACAAATAAAACAAATGTAGCCAAGATCAAAAGGAAAGCAGAAAACTGAGAAAAAAATTTGTAGACGGTTCTTCAGATAAAGGTCTTATATCTCAAATAAATAAAAAGGACTTTGTCAAATCTATAAGGATGAAATCATTCCCCAATTGATAAATGGTCAAAGGATATGAACAAGCAATTTCCAATGAAGAAATCAAAACACTTTGGTCATGTGAAAAAATACTCTAAATCATCTGATTAGAGAAATACAAATTAAAACAGCCTTGAGATATCATTTCGTATCTATCAGATTGGCTAAAATGATAGAAAAGTGACTAGTGTTGGAGGGGATGTGGAAAATTAGGACTTTAATTCATTGTTGGTGGATCTGTGAGCTGATCCAACCATTTTGGAGATTTGTAATTATGCCCAAAGAGTTATTGAACTGCCTGTACTCTTTGACCCAGCAATACCACTGTTAGATCTGTTTCCCAAGATGATTAGGGAAAAAGGAAAAGAATCTATGTGTTTTCAAATATTTGTAGCAGCTCTCGTTGTGGTGACAAAGAACTGGGAATTGCGGGGATGCCCATCATTTGGGGAACGGCTGAATAAACTGTGGTATATAATGGTGGAATAGTACTCTTCTATAAGAAATGATGAGCTCAATGATTTTAGAAAAGCGTGGAGAGACCTCCACAAAAAATGAAGAGCAAAATTAGCAGAACCAAGAGAACATTGTATACGGTAACAGCAGTATTGTTTTAAGAACAGCTTTGAACGACCAAGTCATTCTGAGTATTATAAATACCCAAATTAACTGCAAAGATCGTATGAAGAAAGATGCTGTTTGCATCCAGAAAAAGAACACACATACACAGATTTGTGTCTAAACAGTCACCATCTCAAAGTTTGGGAGGGAAGGGTAAAAAAAAAACAGAGAAAGTTACATGATAACCTTGTTGTATATTTGAAAGGAATAGTAAGTTGTACATGATATCTGTAATATCAGATGCCATTTCAGTTTTTCTGTTCCACTTAGTTATGGAAAGCTTGTTTCATTTCTTAATTTTAGAATAAAAGAAATAATTAAATAATTAAATGAATTTGGAACCAGATAAATGACAATAAGTTGTTAATAGTTTGATTTCATCTTGGAAAGAAGTTCCCAAGGAGTGTGCTCCACGGATGTGTATTTGAATCAGTAATACTTCATATTTCTTATTAATGCCTGAGATAAGGGCATATAAGCCATACTTATCTGATTTTCAGATCATAGGGTAAGGAGATAGCTAATACAGTAGATGGCAGAGACAGAATATATAAAAAATGGGGCAGCTAGGTGGTGCAGTGGATAGAGCACTGGCCCTGGATTCAGGAGGACCGCAGTTCAAATCTGGCCTCAGACACATAACACTTACTAGCTGTGTGACCCTGGGCAAGTCACTTAACCCAATTGCCTAGCAAAAACAAAACAAAAAAAGAATATATAAAAAATACTGGCCAGTTGGAACTAGGCTGGATCAAATAAAGTTAAATTTAACAGGAATAAATGTAAAGTTTTACTCAGTTTCAAAGAGTCAACTTTACAAATATAAGCCAGTAGTCCGTAATTCAGCTGAAAAGGACCTGGGTTGTTGTTTTTTTTTAGTGAACTACAGCCACTATGTGAATCAACAGTTAATATGGCAGACAAGAAAGCTAATGCACTTTTAGTCTACATCAAAAAAAAAAGCATGCCACCTGAATTTAATAGATGATTATCTCTTTAATAAACATTTGATAGCAAATCAATTGAAGATTTATTAAGTTCCTTCCACGTGACAGGCACTGTGCTAAGCACTAAGGATACATATACAAAAAAGAAACAGTCCTTGCCCTCAAGGAACGAGGGAGAAGACAACACAAAAAAAGCAAGCTGGAAAGTAAGGGGTTAGTACAAGGGTAGGATGGGGTAGAGAGAAGGTACCTGGTATGGGCATAATGGAGAAGTCCAGAGGAGTGCAGCCTGTTGAATGAATTGTTGCTTGCAGTGAGCCCAATGTATTAAGTAATCTATTATTAGCATGCTGCAGTGCTCTGAAGAGAGTTACACCAGTTACAGGTATGAGTTGTATAGAAATTCATTTTCAATGTAGATAGTTATGAAGGTATGTTTTAATTAAATACATAAATTATTTTAAATGAATTAATATTATCTTTCTTTGAAACTCCATTATTTTTGTTGGTCCAAAGTAATAAGAACATTTTCCTTACAGTTTTCAACAAGTTTTAAAATGTTTCTTGATAATTGGAATATTCAGACAGCTCTTTGGCTTAAAAGGTATGTGATTCCTATCAACCTAATCTTTGTTGACATTTACATTTTTCTCCATTAAAAACTGCTGAGTTCTACTCCTTGGCTAAATTAGTAGTGTCTTCCATGTTTTAAAATAGCATTAGAGCTTATTCTGCATGTGAAATGAAGGTGATCTTTAATAGTGTATTGATTTTTGAGGATGAGATGAAGTATTACCTTCTTTTAAAGAAAACTTAGCAATAGTAAATAATTAATATAGAAAGAACAGATGTATCTACCACTTATATTTTTTATATTTAGAATTCAAGCGTTTTGTAAAATGTAAATAAAATTACATAATAAGTAAGAATCATCAATACACTGAATGCTGCATTTAATTAAATAGGTAGAAATTATTTTTTCCAAGTTTAGACCTTCCTAAAGGTTAAGTAAGCTACCCAGGGTGACAGCAAGTTATTGATAGAAGAATGTGCTTGGTCTATTAGGATTCCCTAAAAAAATTCAGCTTAGCTATAAGGAATGATGTATGATTATATGACATTTATTTGGTATTATTGTCATCATCATTATTATTCTTATATATGTGTGTATCTTTCCCTCTGTGTTCCCAGGGTCTGTTATGAAAGAGCCTCCTTTAGCCCGACCATTCAAACTTTCATCCTCTCAGCCATTTGGCACGGTGTATATCCAGGATATTACTTAACATTTTTAACAGGGATGGTAATGACATTAGCAGCAAGAACTGTGAGTACTTAGATATTGTATGTTTCAAAAAATCAGTGTATTTTTACCTGTAAGATGTTTGAAATGACAATTCAGTTTCATTTTTTAAAATATCTTTCAAGTGATCACTTCATGACACAGCCAACTAGAAATATCTCTGCTTTGACCTTACTAGTTGACCAAATGGCATATTCTCCATTAACAGTATGATCACTGTGCCCTCCACATCAAATGGGACAGGAGGAGTACCTCTGCCTACAAAGACTTTAAAATCTACTGGGGGCTGCACACGTTAAAAAAAAAATGTAAAGCCAATTTGAAGAGCCACAGGAGAGGAGCCAGTGCAAAATAGAGTTGAAACAGGGAGCCCTGCTTCCACTTTATAGAGTCTATGCTATGAATAGTCACAGTGGAGTGGAGTTAATAAATACAACTGTCTCTTGGAGACAGAAAGCCTTAATTTTATTTTGAAAGAAAGGAAGAAAATGAATTGGCCAAGATCCACACATTCAACAAATATTGATTGGGAACTTGACACATTAAGTTGCATTGAACTAACCAGGTGTTGGAAAAATTAAAAAAAAAAAAGATAAATAAGACACAGTCCCTGCCCTCTGCAACTTGATACTAATCTAATAAAATTAGAAAAAGCTCATAAGATCAGCATGAAAGTGCAATGAGATCAGAGAAGGGAAGAAATCACAACCACTTTGTGGGGAGGAAAGATTATGGAGAAGTAATAATGGAAGAGCAGTAGAGAGTAACACAGTCAAACCTGTGTTTAAAAAAACATAGACTGCTTCATGACAGCCCCTAAGGCAGAGAACCATTGGTCCAATTAAATAGACCTAAATAACCTATTTGAAAGGTAGATACAGTATCCATATAAATAAAACATGACCACATCTACCCCTAGGTGAAACATAAGCAGTTATTTTTTTTAATTCTAAGAATTTATTATCTTTAGATTTATGACCACCTTGAAATTGAAAAAAAAAGTTTGAGTTTTTGTGCCCTTGAAATACTCTTCTCAACAATTTCTTTAGAGGTAGTTGCTCTTCATTTGTTGATAAAACTATTGTACTGAAATATGTTTCAATAAATATTACTTGACAAGCTTAGGCTGCATATCATTTGTTTTAAAATGTAATTTACAAAAGAAAGCTAATACTTTTGCTGTTGTATTTTTGTCTTTCAGATGAGAAATAACATTAGACATTACTTTATTAAACCTCCAGAGGTTAAATTATTTTATGATGTTATAACATGGATAGCAACTCAAGTAGCAATAAGTTACACAGTTGTACCATTTGTACTTCTCTCTATAAAACCTTCCATTTTGTTCTTCAGGTAAGTGTATCTTTTAAAAATATCTCAGTAGAGTTTTTTTTTAAAGGAAACTTTTATTTTTAATAGAAATTCCTTGGAAATGAGGTAGAATAGATAAATCATTTTGGCCACATTATTTACATCTAGATACATCATCAGTTATTCTATTTAAATGTGACGGGACTTTTAAGTGAAGGTGGGAGTCAGTTTTCTGGGTAGAGTGATTTTCACCAGACCTTTCAAATGAACATTTGGTCATGATGATAGGAGAAGAAAGCTTGGGTGACCATTGTGTGAAAGATTTAGAAGGCTTGGAGCTTAGCACAGTTCCTGGAATGTACCAGGCACTTAAGAAATGCTAGTTGGTTGGCTGACTAATCAAATGATGAAATTAATTTTACTAAAAAATAAAAATTATAGTTGCCTGTATGGAATGTTTAACTCTTTTCTCCCTTTTAATCAAAGAATGATTAATACTATTTCTCAGATATATGTTTCCCTTTTTCCTGGCCATCATCATAAGGTGTGAGAAATAAAAAAAACTTACTCTGAGAAATTATTTAACTAAATTGTTAAATTTTTATAGCTACGCTCAAGTAGTGAGGACTGGGTTTTGTTTCCAAAGTTCTTTTAATGATGTCATTTGTACCTGGTGGCATGTGGTTCAGATCATGTCAATATTTAAAGGGATTTTTTTTTCTTTAGTCTATTTTTCCATTTGTCTAACTTATCAAAATATTACATTCTTATTATTTGTTGAGTTTGCACAGCCTTCATAAAATTACTTGCCATTTTGTTAGAAATTAGTTTTGATATTTAAAATCAGCCCGGGTTAAACTTTTTGATAGCCAACTATGTCACTGTACAATATACCTTTGAGTTACTACTTTCAGCGTTTCTTTGAGTAATGTAGATTCTTGGAAGTAATTTTCAGGGGATCTAGTTACCCATGAGTATATTTTTTGTTTTTAATTTACTACATTAAGTCACAGCATTATGTTCCTTATGGAGAACTAGAATGTGATACTTAATAGCAGGCTTATATGCCGTCTAGGTTTAACATAGTAGTACTTTATAAATATCCACTAGCAGCAACAGCTTACAAATTATAGTAACATGAGGGAAAAATAGTGAACTTTGTGCAACATCCGAAGTTGGATATGATATCTACAGTATGTATTTATGCATGATTAATAACTCACAATTTGATGAAGTGATTTTTTTTTTCCATTTAGCTCCTGGTATTATTGCCTTCACATTACTGGCATCTTGGTAGTGGTATTGTTACCAGGAAAGAAAACTAACAGAGGAAAGAAAATACAGCCAGAAGACCACCTCTCACAGTCCAAAAAATTAGAGGAAGAAGAAAGTCCTTTGGGACTGAACAGTTATTTAGCAACAAATAACATCGGCAGTCAGCAGCAAAAAATATCTCCCAGATATTCGGCACGAAAACAATGATGGAGAGAATATTACGCTGGCTATTTTTCATGTTTTCAGAAACCACTTTTAGCACCTTTTACAGAGGTTTGTATTCAACTGAAACAAAATTAAGTGACAAAAAGGACATATATATATATATAGGGAATATCTTGTATAATAGACTGCAAATAGAGTGAACTGACCCCTCTTGTGCCATGTCCCTGTGGGTCATGCCTTATATGAAAATATTTCCATTATTTCAATGGGCACTCAGGACTTCAACGTATGTCCATAGGGTCATATGTGTGCCCCTTTGATGAATGTACGTTGTGTATCCTAAGGCACTAGGGGGTAGAAACAATTGTGTCGATCTAGATGAAGAGAGGGAAATTTAACTTTTCCAGATGAATGCTTTGCCTTAAACCCTCTATTTACTGAAATAATTGTTTCTAAATGGTATTTTAATATTTGTGTAAAAAGCAGATTTCAGATATTTAATGTTAAATGCTGTAAAGGAAATTAGAAGGAAGAATTTTAATTAGAACATTGTAAATGGTTTGTAAATTGCAATAAACATCTCAGTATTTTGAGGGTTTTCTTACAGTTATCTCAAAACAACTTAAGTAGATTGCAGAATTGTAAACATTACCAATGCCAAAATATAGGTAGCCTAGATTGGCTGATTTTAATTATATTGTATCAGTCAGATTGATCCCTTCTAAGAAGATTTTCTTAAACCTATAATTTAAATATGGCAAAACTGATATTTTAAGGTTTTTTTTACTTTTTAAAAAAAGAAGAAAACATTAAGTGGACTTTGCAATTAGAGACAAGTTGGCAATCATAGGACCCAGATCAATATATTGCAAGTTAAGTACCAGGTGCTCAGCTGAAGTGCTACTTACCCCTAACAAGTCTGAATTTATTTTATTATTGTATTTATGATATTCACAGATTTAACAACTAAATTTCTTTATAATTTTCAAACTAAAGCTTAACAGGCATAAAACCTATAGAATTAGGAAAGGATTTTTAAATAATAGAGCTAAAACAGTATCATGGGAGTAAGTAAAACATTTTCACTTGGTTAAGTATAAAAGCAAGTTCCCTTAAACTAACTGTTGAATTGTCTGCCTCTTAAATATAACAGCCTAATTAATGTTTTGAAAAGTTTAAGGGGATTTATATAAGGCTGTTGGTAGAAAAGATAAACCACATCTTTAGAAAATCTTATATAAATAATATTTAGAACTATTAGATATTGTATAAAGTGCTGTCATTTAGCACCTTTTAATTGGATTTTTAATGTAGTGCAAAAGTATGTTTTTGTTTTAGTTTGGGCCATTTTCAGGTGCTTACAATTCCCTTGAAGTACTACAACTTTCTCATTATTCCCAAGGGCCACACAATTCTTTTGCATTAATTTGATCTTAGTTGTGACTAAAAAAAAAATAGCACAGAATTATCAGTTTTGTACAAGGACAGTTGGCAAGAAGCATCACGAAATCATTTAAGGTTCCTAAACTATGTGATATTTGGCATAAGTGTGCACAGGGCTCTTAATGTATTGAGCCACTGAAAAAAGGAAGAAAGAGGTGTTTTCATTTTATTTTTAGCTGACATTTTATTTTGCCTTATTTTTATTAAATGCAAACTTTCCACATTCTCCAAATTCTTTTTGATATGTTACCATTTACAGATTATGATTAACAAATTGAGTGAAGGGCAAAATAGCCTGTGATGTAGGAATGTACTAAGTAGTGGTGGGTTGTATGGTAGGTTTTTTTTTTCTTTTTTGGAAAAGCAAAGAAAGCTAAGACACCTGCCATTCAGCAGGTCCTAATCAGCAAAAATGTAGAGCTGCCTTTTTTTTTTTTTAGCCTTAGAAATATCACAGGCTGCCTTGGCTCAGTCTCTGTTGAAACTTCTCCTTGTTTCACACCTGTCTGGAAATGTAGGTGGGGCTGGCCCTGTCCTGAGAACTTCCCAGGAAAGAATGGAAAATGAAAACATTGAAATTAAGATGCATAAATAATACGGGAGGACAGAAATGAATGTACATAGAAAGACCAGTTAAAGTTGCTGGCAAAAGAGTTTTCATTCATTGATGAATGTAGCAGAGGACCTATGCACTCTTTAAGAGGAACTGTAAGGATATGGGTTTTATTAAGACATTTCTGGCTAGTGGAAAGCACAAGCACTGGATTACAGCCTTGTATGTAAGTAGGGAGCAGGGGGAAGCTCAAATACTTTTCTTTTTATTAGCCCTCAAGGAAATAATCAGCATCCATTTTAGTTTGACATAATTTGATTGCAGAGCTGGATGGCACCCTGGAAGATCATCTAATCAAGGCTCTCATTTTACAGGAGAGCAAACTGAGGTCCAGAAAGGTAAAGTGATTTTTCCCAAAGTCACACAGATGATAAATGGTAGAACCAGAACTGTATTTCCAATTAAGTCCTCTTTCCATCCCATGAGGCTGCCTCCCTCACCTTTAGGAGGCAACTATTTTATAAGGTCCACTGGTCATCATCTGCTTAAGTGACAATATTATAGCCACTCAAAAAGTGAAAATCTCGGGCAGGTAGGTGGCACAGTGGATAGAGCACCGGCGCTGGATTCAGGAGGACCTCAGTTCAAATCCAGCCTCAGACACATAACACTTACTAGCTGTGTGACTCTGGGCAAGTCACTTAACCCCATTGCCTAGCCGCCCCCCCCCCAAAAAAGTAAAAATCTTTTTCAGTCTCTCAGTTTGCATAAAATGTACCTAATATGCAAGTGGCTGATTCCCCCTGCCAAATTAAATAAGTATTTTTCCTCTGGTCCAGGAGGGATTATGGCATAGGCTTTTGCTTCAGAAAGATCAGTGAATTTATTTCTAGCTTTGACTTTTCTCTATAAAAGAGGTTATTTCATCCTCTGTCAAAATAGAGGAGCACTAATGCCATATGTATCCCCAGCACAGTGCCTGGCATTCGATAAGTAGACCTTATTAAATGCTTGTTGATTGATCAATTATTGGTGAAATGTTATCAAGATTAATGTGTTGTTTCTACTTCTTTTGGAGGACTGTACTCTAATGGGTACTTGCTTTAAAAAAAACTGCAATTATAGTGCAGCTAGATTTTATTTTTTCATTTCTTAAATTGGCATGAGTGAAATATGCTCATAATTTTACTTTGTGATGATTACATACAAAATATGTCAAACGCACAGTTTAGATTTGAGGATGTTAGACCTTTAGTGTATGCTTTAACTATTCTTACTGTTCCCTCCTTTTTTTTAAATCATAGTTAATTTCTATTATAATTTAAACGAGCAGTCATCAATATATTGATTAAAATCAGTAAAAATCCATCACTGTTTTACACAGTTCAATTCTCTAACTTTAAAATAAAGATTTTCTTTGTAATTAAGGGTAATAGAGAAAATGGATTTGTCTGACAAAGAACATGTCCCTTCATCTCATGTCATCAGCATTTGAGTCTTTACTCTATTAAGGTTGGCGTGTGTGTGTGTGTGTGTGTGTGTGTGTGTGTGTGTGTGTGTGTGTGTACCCAAAGTACCATTTTTCTCATCTGTAAAATGAGGGAATTAAATTGGATGAGTTCTAAGGTCCCTTCCAGCTGTGAATATTCTGAACCTATGAAAATGTGTGGCCAAGAGAACACTTGAGGAAATACAGTTCATTTATATTATTGCTGTCTCTCAGTATTAGTAAAACTGAAAGTACGGGGATCTATGCTCTTATCCCTGGTTCTTGGATTAATGACCAGTGTGGACTTGGGCAAGTCATTTAACTTACCTGATTCTTGATTTTTACTCACCCATAAAACTACAGAGTTTGATTAGCCTAGTCCCTTTTCAACTCCAAAATCCTGACACAATGTACATAGATGGGGTTGGAGTGCCATGGGTGGAATCAACAAGCAAGTTCTGTAGATATGTGTAAGAACATGACCATGGTCATAATTGTATTTATTTAATACCATGAAATAGAGCTGTAACTGTGCAAAAGGTTGTCATGGTAACATAGGAAAAATCCTTGAGTCCAATGAAGCAAAAGGCCTGTTATTGTAGCATTTCTGCTGAATAGATCTCTTGAAATGATTCCCAAATAGTATACCAAATTGTATACATGAGAACATGGCAGATTTTCCTCTTGCTTTCTCTGCTTTTTTTCTTATACTTGTATGATTTTAAATCGGAAAGAAAAAAAAGTAACACTTAAATATCCTTTATCCCCCTTCCCATTTACTTATTTTATTACCCAGGAAATATAATACCAGTTAATTAATTGTTTCTTAAATTATTTCATTATAAATTATTTAAGACATATTTCATTTTTAAACTATCTTATCATATTTCAAATTACAAGCAGTACTTTACTTGAATAAAACTAAGTATTTACCATTAATTTAATCAGAAAATTCATATGTTAGATAAAATTTGAGATAAGGTTTTTGCAAGGTTAAATATTTAATTTTTATTATTTGTAATTTATATACACTTATTTTGAACATAAATGGAAAAGCTGGAGAGTTAATACATTCCTAATATATACTTATTTCATTTTCCTGTTGCTACCAACTATTTGTAATTATTCATTCATAAGTTTTCCAAACTATTGTATTATCATGAAGGATAAAAATGACATAAAAGGGAAGTGGTATGAATGGCGCCTGTTTTTATGATTTTGGCTAAAGGTTTGTCCAGAGTTTTTATTATAAACCTATGTCCTAAGGAGGTTTCTCAGTCATTAAAAATCCATCCAAGCTGAAAAGTTAAACATCAGACTTACTATAGATAGAATTTTAAGGAACACTGTGAAATTATTCCTTGCTGCCCTTAACTACCTTATAATTATCTTAGATTAGAACTGGAAGACTTAATTGGATATGTATTTAATTATGTCTGTTTCTTGCACAAGTAAATTAATGTTTATTCCTGAAGTACAAGAAAAAAATTACTTTGAAAAATAAAAATTTATCTCTCAAAAATCTGAGGATTTGGAGCCTAGGATGTCTCAAAGTTTAAGACCCACATCTCCTATTTATGTTTGCATATACAGTGTGATAAAAGTATATATTTATAGTTGTTTAAATTGCAGTATTCTTTTAAAAGAAAAAGATTTGCCATGTTGGTATTTTGTAATCATGCCCTCATAATCAGTGATTTAGCTGCTTTTATCTAGGTTGTTAGTGTGTAATGGAAATAGCCTGTTCAGTTTCATTGGTTAATGATTTTAATATAATGTTCCTAATGACTTTAATAGTTTTTTTTTAAATATTATGTAAACCCCAGGGTAGGACTTGAGGAAGAAAATAATTTCCAAAATACAGCCTCGGTGCATATTTTTACTTCAAAGCTTATTTGTCATGACCTTAAAATTAATTTTTATTTTATGTTTTACCACTAAATTTTAAAAGAAAAAAAAAACAAGCTATATAATGTAGAAATTATTGTGTAAAGGCCAAGTCAAACCACATTTGCCCTATTTGAAGCCATCTCTCCAATGGTATTTGGACACATTTACTACTATAAATTGGATGGCCAACCAGAAGTTACAAAGCAGTGGAAATAAATGGTTTGCCCAAGTGCTTCTAATGAAGAGAGAGGTACAAGCTACCATCTGCTGGACAGTATCTGGCTCCTGCATAATCTCTACTCTAGATTTATCTCTCTCAGAGGAGCTAGTTGGTAAGAATCTTTGCTATCTCTTTAATGGAACAGTTATTCATCTGTCAGAATTCCTAACATAGATTTTTGTTGATCTGCATAAGATTCATAAGATTCCTCAGTTTAAGCATATTTTAAATGCAATTATACAGGTTGTCTATAAGAATAAACTTGTTTCTAGATTTTTTCCTTTTGAAAAGAGAATTGATCACCAAATACTCATTTGGCATACAAAATTTATATTAGATCAACTAGAAAAGAATGATCTCTGTCTTCAAAAGGGCCTAACAGAAAACAAAAGGAGTGAAAGCAAAAACTCATTCAGGGATCTGAGGATGTTATAATAAATTACTCAGTTTGAGAAATTAGAATGTGTAATTAATGTAATTCCTGCCTTGGTTCTACTTTAAAGAATTTTATGTCTTTGCAGAAGAGAGACCCTTTCACTAGGGGGAAATTAACAATTCTAGCAGTCAATATTTACAGTATTCCTTCACTTGCCTTCCCTTATTGAAATTAGAATACGGTGTCTGTGATTTTCATTTTTATTATTCCAAAATATATTTTTTAAAAAAATGTTATTTTTCAACAGATCCATAATCTAGGTATTGGTGATTGGTAAATTTAAAATACCACTGTTCGTTACACTGTGATGTCATTTTAATAATTATCCATTTCTAGTCTCTGTCAAAGCTGCACTGGTAACATACTGCAATGTTTTAAAGGTGTTTTTAACTTACATGTAAATGTTTTTCTAATTTGTGTGTCTTTAAAATAGATTAAACAGTAGTTTAAAAATATTTGAATATGTTTACTAATTTCAAAGTCTTCTGATTTAACAACAGCAAAGTAAAGTCCTTCAGAAAAGTTTTCTGTTCAACTTATTACTAGGCTTAAAAACTTAACCTGAGGTTATCATAACTGATCCCATTCACTGGATAATCATCTGATATGTGAATTTATGTATTCATAAGTATAATTGGATATGTTTGTTTTAATAAAATGGGATTGTTGAAAACATGAATATTTTTCAAGAATTCAAAGTTGAGAAAATTAGGTTAATGCATTTTTATGAATGACTGCTCAACATACCATAATGGCTCACACTGAATCCTTAAACAGGTATATAAAAATAACTGAATGCTTTCTTTAAGTAAAGATTTTATCAGTCATGTCCTAACGTGAACAATGATGAATACAGCATTGTCATGCCTCTCACTGAAGCTCATATATCAGAAGGCATAGACTTATTCAAGAGACTATGTGATACAATATAATGAATACAGGCTCTGGAGTCAGAGACCCTGGGTTCAAATCCTGCCTCTGATGCTTTCTATCACTTTGATGTTGGGCAAATTATGTAAGGTTCCTGTGCCTTAGTTTCATCATCTGCAGAATCGACTAGCTGGCCTCTGTAAGTATGGTTCTAAGTTGCAGCAATACAAGGTGACAGTTCCTTTTTGTTTGTTTTTATTTAAGTAAAGAGAATGAAGAGACACAAGCAGGACATAATCACTTTGCTATCTGGTCCAACTCAAAAATGGGAGTAGTAACTAGTTGAAAAAGTTACACCAGAGACAATTGTCCAACAAGTAAAACCCTGAACTTCAATTTCTTAAACACCAGCAGATAATGTGTATTTTATAATCATAAATAACACTGCCCAAGTGTTACTGAGCACATGTATGAGCCAAAAAAGAATTATAGTTCAGTTTCCCCACATTTTTGTCAGAATGCCACGTATATGGGCCTCTCAGGCAAACTCTTCTATTTGCACAAGTAATTCCATTCCATCCCATCTCCTCCAATTGCCCCCACTTTTATCCTCACTCTCACACTTAACTTCAGTCTTTCCCTGTCAACTGCCTGCTTCCCTACTTACTACAAATCTCATGTCTCCCCCACTTGACTCTTCCACCACCACTATCATCCCATTATCTCCTGCTTTTTGTGGCCAAACTTGAGGAAGACATC